GGAGTTGGACAAAGGGCAAAATCAAGCACTCAGAGTCATAACAGCAGGAATGAAATCAACCACCATATTAGAAATGGAGAAAGCTGGGAAATCACAGGAACTGAGAGAACGCAGATATACAAAGTTGCAAATACAAGCTGAAAAGTTCCTCAGTATGCCAGATCACACCATGAAAAATATATTTCAGAACCTAGCCTTGGGACGGTTAAAAAGAAACAGCTTTATACATCAAGCAAAAAGAATATGACCTTCCAGAAAGTGGATGTCCACTTAAACAGTATTCCAAACAAACATCATGGAGATAAAAATGCAAACCAACAGTACAAATCCAGACAAATGTGAAAGGAATATTTGACAAGTAAGAGCAAGATAGAGTACAATCGCAGAATGTCAACCCTCAGTTATATTGATGAAAAATGCCCACAAGAACAATGGGCCAGAGCCTATACAGATGTGACAGCAGAAAGTGCAGTTAGAAATGCTGGAGCTGGAGTGTAAATAGAATTCCCAGATGGTACTAGGGATAATTCCAGCGTACCAACCGGAAAGTACTGCCATAACTATGATGCAGAAACCCAGGCTATCAAGATTGCAACAGAGAAACTGCTAAATACCAGTCTTGGCTCACAGTATGTGGTAATGCTGACAGATACAAAATCAGTACTTGAAGCATTCCAGTCTAGGAAACTACCAGAATTGCAAACACTGCTGACACAACTTAGCCTTCAGCGAAGAGTTGTAATGCAGTGAATACCATCACATTGTGGAGTGCATGGAAATGAGAAAGCTGATGAACTGACAGGAGCAGGTGCGACAAAAGTGCAGCCGGATGTACCAGTCACATACCACCAAAAGAACATAATCATTAAATCAATCAGAAAACCACCAGCCCCAGCACAAGACGACTATTTTTTTTATGGACAGATCAGAACAAGTCATTATCCTCGGCCTCAGAACAGAGCACAACTGATTACGTTACCACGTGTACACACAAATCAAGATTGGCGTATCAGCCATGTGCACCTGTGGAAAGGTGCCCCAGACAGCAGAGCATGTACTCCAGGACTGCACCGAATTTGACACATTAAGGCAAACCTGTTGGTTAGAAAGAACAACAGTGGAACGTAAACTCTATGGACCACTGAATAAATTACCAACAACAGTTAAAATTTATACAAGAGACAAAATTACTGATATAGACAACATATTTCAGGCGAACGAAAGAAGAAGAACAACAAGAAGAAGAAGAACGGGTTATGCATGTCATTGTGATGTGATGAAATAACAGGCAAAGTCTCACACTGATTCTAGCCGACATTTGTAATAGTGCGGTCCAGATGTGAAGGTTTTGTTTTGGTGGATGGGCTCTAGTGTACGTAACAGATTCCCGGAACACCGAACTTAAGTGTTCTTTGTTGAATGTTGTTCAGGGTTGTTGTAGATAAAACTCTCATGCCCTGAAACTCTAGTGCTCTGTGATGAAGACTTTTGCGGTTTGTCGGGCAGGTGAATCGACGAGCAAAGAAGCTAACGTGCTTCTCAGAGAAGACTCTCTGTTGGAGGGACTCCGGGGAGGGGGGATGTTATGGGTTGTACTCATCGATTATAAACTGTTTAACAAGAGTTTGGATTTTGTTGTTGTAGTTGTTGCTATCCACATGTAAACATTTGTTGGCAGCGAAATACTCCTCAATAGGTTCTTTCTCCAGTCTGCATTTAGTACAATTTATCAAATAGTTTTTTACTGTATTTTTGTGTGTGGAAAGCAGTCTAGGCATAAGAGAAATGTGAATTTACCTGGTTGTCATCCGAGTCCTTATCTCCATTATATGTTATTAGATGGAATTTTCAGTTTGTCCAACACCTGTCTTTTTAGACTGGGTTCTTTAGGGTTAACGTCTCTTCTTGCAGTGCTTCTTTGCTGCTGCAGTTTCCACACGTCAATAATCGTCCTTTGACAATAACAGTCGACTCAGTTGTTTTTTTCCTAAGGACTACTTCTACCATATTATTGCAGTTAGTTCTCTTTAAAACTTCTTGATACGCTCTTTCATTTCCACTTACACCTCTACGTGCTGGTATCCATGCTGTTGTGACTTGGCATCCTTTGTTTTGAGGTTGAGTTGACATGTTTAAAATCTTTTCTTTTTCTATCCAGTCTTCTGCCTTCTTTGTGTGTACTTAAAGATTGCACTAGTGGCACCGAATATGCTAATATGATTAATTTAGTTATTCGTTTGTGTAGCAGCCTCTAGTGATGCCGACCAGTTCAGCTGTGCAGACCGCCACATGTTCTATTTTAAATTCTTTTTGTATTTCCAGATTAAGGAATATTTACAGACAACTTGAACTTTGGGAACATAGTTTCACCAGACTCCATTATCATTGCACAAAGCATGTGTGTGCAACATATCACAACTATACCTTATCGGAAAATTGTATTCAGTCAAACGCAAAATGTCATCCAGAAAAACAAACAAACGAAATTATAATTATTAAAAGTTTACAACACAAATCAAACAATGAATGACATAGCGGAGGGATGGGAAAATAAACACGACCCATATATTCGTGCCCATCATACCCATGCTAGATTGTTGTTACCCTGGTGGTTACTTCGACCACATCTACGTGTTACATGTTTCAGTTCTAAAACAAACACGCACACAACGATTAAAATATATGATTAACCTCAGTTATCCCTGAGGGTGAAACAAGCTAGTTTCAACGAAATTTGACAGACACAATGAATTTCGCATATTTTTGGTTCTCTATACGTAATGTTGTCAACGTCACGCCAGGCTTCTCTAATTCCTAGGGCAATATTTTGTACCGAATTTAGGATTCAAACTTAAGACCTTAACGCTACAACTGCTCATTTGAGATAGAAGCTTCTTTTTCTTTTTCTTCTTCTTGTTCTTGTTCTTGTTTTTGTTCTTGTTCTTGATCTTCTTCTTCTTCTTATTCTTTTTCTTTTTCTGCTTCTTCATTAATATCATCATGATCATCTCTCATTTCAGCAATTACCTGTAGATTCGCTATTGAACAACTGTCGAAATGCAACACGGTATTTGATGCTCATTTTATGGTATATAAATATATTCATTGATGAATTAATGCTTTCCATCACATAAACGAACCCTGCAATAATCTTTGAAAAAGAAACATACTTTCCTTTCACCGAGAGCTCTGGCTCACAAGCGACTGCAACCATGAATATTGTAGTTGGCACAAAGCATACAATGAAAAGAGTGGAGATTGTTATCACCATTTTGGAAATTTTTTTGTTTCTTCTGGCTATTTTATTTGCCCTAATAGAATTGATGGCTGTTTTTGTAAATCCATTTCCTCTGCGAAGTTGGACGGCCAAAATTATCGTGCAGGTGGCAATTATTACAAATGCAGAAAGAGGAATGAGAAAGTTATTGATCAGAAACGCAACTGTCTCAACCTGGACTTTATCATTAGTGAAGATAAGTCCTACAATGGTCTTGTTGTTGGCAAGTGAACTCTTTAAGCCCAGTTTATTCACAGCATACACAGGTGTTCCGCTAAAGGTGAAGATGACAAAGATGCCGACTGTGATAGTAGTTGTTCTTTTTGGGGTAAGAATGTTCTTCACCTGAAAAAAAAAAAAAAATCCTTCTGCAATTTGACAGAAACAAAAATTCTTGTAACGATACACGCAGAGGGGGTAAAAATATATTGTTGTCTATCCACAACCTTTTGTCTCGTTTACTTTCAGTCTGTTCTGACATTATTGATCATATATGTCAGAATGTTACGTATGCAAGCTTTGTCTCTTTCGGTCTCTCTCTATAAACATTTTCCTTTAACGTTCCCATTGTCACGATGCACTTCAGTTTTCTACTTCGCATGACATAATAGTTACGTGTGTGCATATTAGTTCGAATGGTGCCACGCCATAACTGGTGCTGCGTGGGGTCACCACCCTGTCTGCAATGCATCGTGCTGTCTGCAATGCCGCATCGTCGTGTCATTCATAATTTAATTTTTTTTTAAATGGGGAAATAATTTTAACACCTGATGCTATACTTGTATTTATTTTTCCGAAGAAGACAGAAAAGTTCGGGGCCGGGGGAATGTGCCGGTTGTTGATGGTTTTAGCTGTAGCTAGGTTGCAATATGTTGGTTGACTGACAGTTGGTCATGCATGACGTAAAGGCATGTGAGTAAATAGTGTTTCTGTGTGCCGCAGTGGTGTGATCTATTTACGGTGGCTCAGTTGGTAGAGCGGTGTGATAAGGGTTCTTTTTCTTCTTCTTCTTCTTTTCTTCTTCTTCTTCTTCTTCTTCTTCTTCTTCTTCTTCTTCTTCTTCTTCTTCTTCTTCTTCTTCTTCTTCTTCTTCTTCTTGATAGGGTTTTATCAATCATGGGTAAAGAGCAGAATAAATGAAGCAAACATTTTTATCAAACGTAGGTAAAAAACACGATTGAATGGAGCAAACAGTTCTATCAATATTATGAAAGGAACCGAATAAATGGAGTAAAGGGTTTCATCAATTTTAGGTAAAGAACCGAATAAATGGACGAATGACTTTTTTCAATCTTATGTAAAGAACCGAATACATTGAGTAAAGAGTTTCATAAATCTTGGGTAAAGTACAGAAAAAAATGGAGTAAAGAGTTTCATCAATCATATGCAAAGAACCGAATAAATGGAGTAAATTGTTTTGCCAATCTTAGGTAAAAAAGAGAGAATAAATTGAGTAAATGGTTTCGTCATTCTTATGTAAAGAATCGAATATATGGAGTAAAGAGCAAAGAACCAAATACATGAAGTGAAGGTTTTTTTTTTTTCAATCTTGGGTAAAGAACCGACTAAACGGAGTTAAGGGTTCCATCAATCTTCGGTAAAGACCTAAATAAATGGAGTAAATGGTTTCCGTTTTCCAGCAGCTCGGCTTCCACACAACTTTCAGGCAAAAATTAAAATCTAGAACGGAGGTTCCACTGTATTTTCATAAACAAATACTTAC